TTGTTTTCAACCTCAACTTTTTTCTTTCTTTCTTTTTTTTGCACGGACGCGTTTTGGTGACGGATCATTAATGTGATATTTGGACGCGGTAAGAAATAAACAGCGGCCTTTACTCCCGTGCATTTGTGCCTTGGGCAGACGTGAGCACTGTGCTACCAACGAACAAATCGCCTAAAATAGGCATAGCCACTTACTCTTCACCAGATAAAACATTTACGGCACCTAGCGTGAACAGAATGAAGCTTTTAAAGTGCGTCGTAAATGCCATGTATTTTCCCATGCTAACAGATGGCAACGTATCCGCGTTGTGGTGGCACGTGGTTAGGGAGCACGGAACTATAGAGGAGCAATCTTTACGCTTCGAATGCTTCAACACTGCCCTGATATATAGGACGAAAAAGCTCAGCTGGAGCTGTTGTAACTTCTTAAATATAATTAGGGCTCCGTGTTTTCGGTACTTGTTTTTGTTCACATGCGGGGGTTATTTTTCTATTTTTATTTTTTATCCGAATTCGGTGTTTTTCGGTGTCTATTTGTGATATCACAAATACACACTGACCCACGAATCGGGGTTTTTTACCATATGAGCCCCGATATACCAGTAAATCGGGGTTTATCGGGGCTCATATGCCAAAAACAAAGGTACATCTCGCGGACTCTGGAAAACACGACGTTATATGGGTTATTTATTACTAAATAAAGCCCATAGAAACCATTTCGGCAGGAGGAAGCAGCGTCGCGGACAGTTCAGTGCCGTCGGTGCTTGGGTTGGGCTCGAGGAAAGTTATTTATACAAGCTTCCTGCCGTAAAACTGCGGCTTTTCTTCTTAATAGCAGGCTTCGATTCGGTGTTTTTCGGTTTTACCGATGTCGGGAAAAACCCTCTGCGTGTTATTTTTCGGTGATTATCGGTATATGCCGAAAACACAGAACCCTAAATATAATTAAGTATAGCCCATTAATAATTAAATCTGATACGTTTTCATCAAACGCGGGCGTTGAAAAAGTACACTATTTATAGAGTAACTCGACTATCGACCTTATACTCAATTTAGTTTCTCTTTGTCGCTTGCTCATGATGGAATATCGCCGTTTACTGACTGCATACATTCATATTCTTTAGTCATAGTATTCGTTGAAATTTTCATTATTGCTTATTATCTTTGCGTTCCGTGTTGTCAGATTATAAAATTTAATATTTGGGTTTGCTTTACGTGTACACTGTCCTAACTGCAATATATAACTACAATCATGAATCACCCTAGCAGTCACATTATTACAGTTTATTCGCAATGACTAATATGCATCTTCCTTAAACGAGAATCATCACCACACAGAAATGTAGCAGTCGCACTGTGCGTGAACCTGTTGCATTGCCCAATTATCTTCCTCACATGCTGCCAGCCGATGCTCGTTGGGGGGAAAGTGCGGCTGAAAGAATTTTTTGTTATTCATAGCGATACTCCCGAAATATCTCGTAGTCGCACCACGCATATGAACCTCACCCACGAGAATCGGAAGTAAGGACCGCGGCATTCGTTTTCCCTTCTGTCAATATTAGCATCAAACGAATACCTTAAACCCACAATGCTTTGAAATACGAACCCTTGGGCGCCGACAGTGGAACAGGGAGTATTCCTTTGTGGCTGACCTCCCAATCCTCGAAACATATGAACACTTTCTTGAAACTCGGGAAACGACAGTGACCATGCCGGCGGCACGTACCAAAGGCCAAACAAATACCGGCGGCAACGAACGTGACGACATCGAACGCTCAACAACAAACACCGGGGAAGGGTGGGGGGCATTCTCCGCGTGGCTTGTCTTTTCAAAGTCGGTTTGTTGTCCTTTCAAAGTCCCCCGCCGCAAGTGCCTCCTTCTGGCACTCCTCTTTTTTTTCCTTTCGTTCCCTCAAAAGAAGTGGCTGCGCACTTCGTGTGTAGGAACAAAGTACCGCCGTCGTTTCCTTTTCTTTTCCTGTTTCGGTCCCTTCGTTGTCGCGGCCTTTCTCAGCAGGAAAACCCGAGCACCCCAAGAAACCTTTGGACGTGACTCGGCGATTTGTTCTCTGGAACGAAGGGAAAAAACAGAGCGGGAAAAAACAAATGCGGTTGTGGAGCCTCGTCTAAAAGATTTACGGCAGGCAATCTTGCGGGACGGGGAATATCGTTTTCCCTCCAGGGTTGCTCTCAACTTCTTGTGTGCATACATGTTCCTAAGGATGTGCCCCTGCGGCAGAGCGATTCCCAAATGCGAGAAGAGGCAGGGTAATCATGTCGGTTCGTATTGTGCCACCGAACTGCTCAGCAAGACGCCACTTGCGACAAAGACACGCGAAGGGAAAGAGAAGACACAATCTTCTATTTCCCTTCGCGAAGCTGCTATAATGGCTTCATTTAAATATCCGCCAGGGAAGCTAGTAGACAATGCGGTTTTATAAACCACTCGCAGACAAGCTTACCATTGGCATTGTCCCTTGGTATAGCAAATCGAGTTTGATCGCGTTTTCGTATAACGATATTGCTATTGGAAGTTGCAACTTCAAAGCGCGCACCCGGGGCGGAATAGGGCCTGCGAAAATGATTTCCTTAAGGTTCCCCATCGGTCAAGAAGGGGGCAGCGGAATCAACTCATTGTCTAAACCCCTGTTTTACAGGCACGTTAATGGCCTTCAAAACGAAGTTGTTTGAAGAATCGGTGAATCGGCTCGCGATTTCGGCTTTGCAAAGCGTTCCGCACTTTAAAATGGCCATGCGCCTGCTTTCCCGCAGGGTTCTCGGAAAGAAAATATCCGAGATCTACACAAGCAACTGGGGGAATGACGAGGCCAAAATAATTTTCCAAGTAAAAGCTACACCTGCGATCATCGATGTGGCACGGATCATAGCGTTTATTTAGTATATGATCCCGTCACGTGCAGTGTCAAATCGCCGACTCGTAGATCACAGTTATACTCCGTTCATCTCTAGGCTGACAGCACGGTGGGTGCTACGCTCTCGATGGACCAATGAACAGCCTGCCTTTCATTAGCTGACCCCTAGCTATCTCTCCGCCTGAAAGCGGAAGCGCGTGACCATGTTGCGATTGCGAATGAAAGAAGTATCACTGGTGCAACGAGCACCTAGCTTCCATCACTTGTTAGCTTAGCAGTGAACGGAGTAAGTAGTGACTATAACGCAGAGGTCCCACTGCTAATACGTCATACAAAAGACAAAATGCAGGCACTGTCCGAGGCGTGTTCTTTACTTGTGTGGACGGTCACATCGGTCCAACAGAAACTGTCTTCAGACATGGTACATATGTACGAAGCAAACATGCTCCCAACATGCTCGCGGCATGTACGCAGATAATTTTTTCATCATGTCTGCAGCGTGTCCTTTGTATGATGGGTGAGCAGTCTGACCACGGCTTGAGAGTGCCCTGTGGTGAAGTAGACGCACGAGCAGTTCTTGAGAGTGTTCATGCACTTGGTAAACTATAGTACGCCCTTGGTGAACTATATCTAAGCGCAATGTTCGCTCGCTGTATACCTGTTCGCACGAATTTCAAGATGGAGAAAGGCTCCCGCTTTTCTGACTAACGAGCGTTTGAACTACTCCGTTATGTGCGGCGCCTGAACGCGAGGGAATGTGGGCGCGGAAGCACACGAGGTCGTCGTCTGTCTACAATTCTCTTCGCGGCTGGGAGCGTTTATAAAGAGCTCCGGCACCGCTCTGGGAACGCCTGGTTGCGCAACGGGTCGCACCATGCAGTCTGCGAGCTCCTGAGACGCGGCGCGAATCTTGGCCCGTGTGTTGTCCTCCAGCCAGGAAGAAGCGAAACGTGGGAGCGTGCCAAGGAGGGCTTGCATGCGCCACGAGTGCTCGGAAGGACGCGGCACCTGACTTCCCTGTCTCCAAGAGTCTAGTTGAAAGTTCCCTCGAGGAGGTCAAATGGTACGACCGCCGACTAGAGGCAATCGGAACTAAAACTACTAAAACCTGCTACGATACGGGAGAACCTAGAGTTACTGCTGCCTAAATAAATTTTTGTTGCTGTTAGTCGTATGTTTCATGGCGGCGTCTGCTAGACTGGAGCCTTCAAGAATGCGATGCACGGTGGTTAACTTAAACTTACCAAATTTATTCTAGTTCATTTTAGGTAACGAAGGTGAAGTCAAATACGTATTGGTACCGTGTTTTTTTTTTTTGTATAACGTATTTTAATGTGGGCACACAGATTCAAAACGCAGTCGCCACGATATAAGATTATTTCGGTAAATATGAATAGGTTGGGGAACCAACTAGAAAGAGATCTGTTCTAGGTGTTTTGTGCTGGTAAATTACTAAGTAATTATTGTAAAGAAAAAAAAAAAACGCGAATAGTAATGAAAGAAATGGTCCTGTCCTTTTTCTTTCTTCGTTCTAGTTTCTATAAGTCTCGTTGCCTCACTATAGTCCGTTGAAACTCAAGAAGGTAGGGCAAAGGAAAGGAAGGCCGGAGAAGAGGAAGCAGACGGAACGCTGGAGAGGCCCGAAGGGGAAACCTCTTCCTCTCTTTAGCACTTCGTCTGCTTCCTCCTCCCCGGCCTTTGTTTCCCTCACGCGACCTTCTTGAGTTGCAAAGGACTATAGCGTGTGCGGTAGATGTTTCACTAAACGGACGGCTGCATGTCTGGAAACGCAGTTCAACACTGCCCGTTGGAAGCTGTCGAACGATCAAGGAGCTAACCAGAAATTCCATCTGGTCATTTTTGTTGGGAACCATAAGCACCAACTGAGCACTCGAATAGCTACGCCACTGCTGCGGTGCTGCTGTGCGTACTGCGCACGCGCAAGCGCTTCATTGCCCGCGTTTCTACGCACCCGCGGCGCCCACACCTGGTGTGGGCAAAAGCAGGTTTCTTTGTAAACAGCGTGTTCTTGTGTAGCCGAAGCACGGTGAGCCGAACACACTGAGATACCGTTGGTCTCGGTGTTGTGCATAGATAATCATTTCTTGCGGCCTCCCGGTTCGCGCAGGATACCAGGACCATGCTGTGGCTGGCACTGCTGTCCTTGTTTCTCTGGGGACATGGGACAGTGGCCGTGGACTTCAGAAGGCCCCCTCCGCCCAAGCACGAGCTCCGTCAGCAATTCTACTTCCCCAAGTACAGACCCGAACTCTTCTTCGACAACAACGTGGTGCCCGAGAACGCCGAAGTGAGCGTGTTCGTCTTCAAGGACAAGATCAGAAGGTAGGTCGACTCCCAGACCATTGTTGACCGCCTGAATTCCTATACGCAACGATTTCTGTTCAAGGGTCGCCGATTTCTTTCCACTGAGATGAATGGGTTCTGTCATCTTTCATTGGCTACGTTCAGCTTACTATTGTGTCTACTTATTTTTACGTTTACTTTCAAGTTTGCCCTTGTGCTCTTTCCGATGCCCCTCATTTACTAAATTGGAGTTTTTACAATGTTGTGATCTCCCGGAGTAAGGCACCCGTGTAGGGCATGCCTGGTTGTAAATTGCCGTACGAGATAGATAGTATCTTTACAAACTAGCTTAGAGCTGAGAACTAGATCAAGACTGAGAAAACCGTTATCTTTTTGCAGTTCGGTTGAAATCGTTTCACTTTTGTTAAAGTTCGTGCTTGCATTGACTCCAAGTTTCGAACCAACAACATACTGAAAGCTGTATCATTCTACTAATTTGTCGATTCAGTTGTTCACATAACCCGTCGAGCTAGCTACGTCGTAGCTCTTGGAGTGACGCATTTTGATATCTGCGAATTACAAGGTATTTTACTGTATGGAAGAAGGCCTGTAGGAAAGAGAAATTTATCGCCGAGCATGGGCGCTTCTACGAATGAATCTTGTCTCCATTCAATTCACTACCCATTTAACATTAGGCCTTCCACGGTAGATGAGCCCCCAAAAATTACCATTATAATATTGTTACAAGATATCTATCATTTATAAGAAACAACAAAGTTATAAACCGCTTCGACATGGGTCTTTTTTCTGCGCATTATTCTCGATGATCAAAGCGGACGAGGTTGGCGTAACTAAAAGCGAGGAATTCTGGCCCTGCCATGTGCATCAATATTCAGATATCCATTACCGTTAAACGCGTGCTTTCGCGAGCCTTATTTTTCTCGCACCAAGGGTGCACGTCTTTGACAGAGCTGTCAACATCCATCGTGTGAGAGGTGGAAGGAACGCAAAACCTCACACAAAATAAGGAAGAAGAGAAAAAGCTGAAGAAGAGAAAAATATTACAGGGAATACATACATCGTATTTCTTTGCCGTCCCGATAGCACAGCAAAAATGTACCGTACGCTCAATCATTTTTTTTTTAATTCAATCGCAAACTATCTGCGGTGCTTAAAATTTCTCATTAAAAAGCCAAAGCGAAGTAGGGAAGTGCAACCGAAGCACGGTGCGTCTTGTATTGCGGCGGAGCTGCCCCCCGGTTTTTCAAGCGAAAAAACGGGCAGTTCATGAGAGTCTGTTCGCAGCAGATTGCAGTCGGAGATATTCGTTGTTCGGCACGTTTGAAACGCGCATTGACGTTCCCTCTCCCCCTTTGCAACGATGAGGACACCAGGGAGAGAGGTGCAATCGTGTCTATTTAATAGGATCCCCGTTAGTATGAATACCCCGCCATAAAGAGAAACTTTTCGGGGACGAGTTGGTTAAATACGTGCATTTTCTTCTCGCCATTATAGACGATTGCAAGCGACGCGAATGGCCGCCGCCATGTCTCTCCTGGTGCGGACAAAGACCGTGCAATCGCTAGCTTGCCCAAGTTATGTTCATGCTCAAGTTGCACGTGCTTGCACGCATGGGCACCAATCACGGCGCCAGGCTTGCAAATGTGTATAGACGCTTTACACACGAGCCAGATTACAACCGCCATTGCTGACCTTCTCTTGTCTTACCGAGATAGCGAACCACAGAAACGGGTGTTGACGAGCCTCCACAGAGGCCAGTGCTGCGAAGGACACAATGGAATCTAAGATAGCAATATGCTGGCCTTCTAACTCTAAGGTAATGATGAAGTGAACGGGATAAGAGCAAACAAAAAATGGTAGACGTTTACAAATCTCTGTAATGCGAAACTAGAGTGCACCTCTTGAGAAGGGGGAGGGGAGGGTACGGAGGGGAAGGTATGGCCCTCTTTCTCCTCCGTACCCTTCTCTCCTCCTCCTCCTCCTCCCCGCCTTCTCCTCCTCCTCCCCTCCTGCCGCTGATTTTGTTCATGAATGACGTGACACGAAGTCGTGACATCATTTTCCCCGCTAAAGTTAACGGGGAAACTAATCCAGTGTTGAGGTCACGTGACGTCCATTTTCCCGCTAAACTTAGCGGGGAAATGTTTCCGCTAAATTTAGCGGGAAACTAGCGGAACAATTTTGTGGCTAAATTTAGCGGAAAAATTGCCCTGCTAAATTTAACGTAAAAAATTTCCCCGCTAAATTTACCGGAAATATTTTCCCGTCAAGTTTAGCGGAAATATTCCCCCGCTAGATTTAGCGGGGGAATGTTCCATAATGAAATGCGCGGTTACGCCGACACCGTCGCCGACACCGTCGCCGACGGCGACGTCGGTGCCGCTCAACCCGGAAACGGGTGCCTAAGAGCTGCATGCGCTCTAAAACTGAAGGTCAGTTATGTCGACGCCCGCGCACAGATGTTGCAAGGGGTTCATAGGCTATTCACTGGCGGCCATGGTGCACGACTGCTGAGCGCGTGCTCATGGCGAGCTTCCACAGCTGTTTTTGCAACGTGCATTCTACTCGATCAAGGTTGCCTGTCTTAGCAACCTTTTAATGTGAGCTCATTCTGAGCATGCGCTCTAGACAGCGTCCTCAAATATGGCCACCCAGCGAATACCCCGTATAAACGACTCACATCAAGTACGCTTTTTTTTTGTGTGTGTGTGTATGTTTGTGCGTGGGTGGGGGGGACGTGTCTATATTAGCGTGACATGACTGTACGGCGGTAAGTACAAGAAGGCTAGTTATCCCTAAGCTGCTTCAGTTCGTATAACAGACAACCAGACGTATATAGCAAACACGAGAAAGCGAGTTCTGATATCACTAAACTGCGTTGCTTTTAAACCTTAAACCAGGCCAAAAATATCGATATATATAAATCTGAAAAATGCCGTAACATCTAGGGTGATTAACTGCAGATATATATTGATTATTTCGTAGTAAATACAAACAAACCCACAAAAATTCCAAGCTACAAAGCTCTGGGAAAATATAGATAAACGAATGAAGAAGGGAGGGAGGGGGGCGGTGTGATATGCATAAAGACAGTCCTTGAGTAGTTGCGAATGCTCGGGATTTATTGTCACCATAGAGTTATTACAATAAACGCTACAGGCTCAGCTCGCGCTAGTGTGCTGTTGCATTTTGAAGCAAACAGCAAGCAGTCAAAAAATGACTTCCGGTAATGCATTTCTATGGGGAAAAGCGAGTCTATTTTCTCTCTGCGCTCGATTATAAGAGCAAATATCACGAATAATTTGTACGTACTAGGCACACTGTAACATTTCTCAGTCACGCAGACGAAATAATTGGTCAGTTACAGCATTTTCATTTGAAATTTGTGGTATGAAAAACGGTGTTAAAACCGCTTCGTACGTGTATTTGTGTGCTCTGTGGGACACTGTTAACGCGAACACCGCGTCGACGCTTTCCAGCATGGGGGACATACGTGCCAAACGATCGAAGGACATGTGGAAAACCAAGAGAGACGGCAAGAACTACGCAGTGACACTGGATAAGTAACTCCTTGTACACGCAGACGATCAAAATAAATTGAAAGCCACGTAATATAGTCCGATTTGCAATAAATAAGTACTGCTTTATTCTTTCTGCTCATCAATATGTGCGAAGATGCTTGTTCTGCAGGTTCAAATCATCACCCGCACGCTCCAAATCTTTGCAAACCTTTGCCAGAGAGTAGGTGCCCGATAAAAAATGCCCGACATAGAAAATAATAAAAAGACACCTTTCGTAGCTCACGTGCTTTATTTTTTGGGTTCGAATGTTTCTTTAACCGATCATAAAGATGCACGACGGAGTCATTTTCATCCAATGACAGAACCGGCATATTAGCAATATATAAGCACCACCGAAATGCTAGCAAACCTTTAATACACTCTACATTCCTTTCGATCGTTAGTTTGCTTGGAATCTTCGCTCGTTTTCACATACCTCCCTTGAAACAGAGGTTTGGGCTTGAAATAAAGCTAAGTTAAACATCGTTCAGTGGTAGAGAAAAATGCTGTAACTAAAGCAATTACACTTTCACAATACCAATGAAGGTGCATACTATTCGGTACAACCGAAATGACAAAAGGTATTCATGTTATTTTCCGGCGAAGAGACAAAATTCACGCGCGTTTTCCCATAGGAATACACAGGGATGCTGGAAATGTAGACTGCATGCTGTCTGCTTCAATTTGCAACCGGAAGTCCCGTAGACGCTAGCGCCAGCTGAGCCTCTAGCGTTTATTGGAATAACTCTATGATTGTCAACAGTCTTTACAAAAATATAAACAATAACGCAATGGTCTTTTGATTTTAGCGTGGAAAGGTAGACATAATGCCAATACATTGTTCTTACACCATCAACTGCTTCGTTTGTTTTCACGCTTGCTATTTAGGTAATTTCAGATGACATCGAAATGAAGTGTGTTGTATCATACTGTCATAAATAATTTCCTTCCATTGTTGTTCACTTTGTATTACCTATTTAAGAAAAAGTATATGTGAAAATGAGAACAGGAATACGACAAAATGCCTCCGGCCATTGAAGAACCGAAATATAAAAAGGAGAAAGACAAAGAAAGACCAGGTTGTTGATTACTGATGCAATATTTATTTTGATTAGTGATTATCGTACCAATCTAATTCGGAAACAACAAGAACAACAGTTTATCCTGAATATCATTGGGTGATGTTCCAGGTTCCCGGTTCGAAATTTTACCGGTGAAGTATGGGCCTGCGCGCTCAGGAAGCTAACAGCTCTTTTTAAAACACCGCGCTTGCGCTTTGTATTTCAGGCTACTATACTTAAAACTCACACCTACAAATACCGGTAATAAAAAAAAATAAAAAAGTACTGATGAAATATACGTTTCTGCAAGATGATAAGCATTCATGTTTGGACAATTTGACATAGGGAGAAAGCTAGCAAACTTATTACTATGCTACCGGTATTCCGAGCGAAATTG